TTTTGTGTAGACATATTCTTCTAGTTTTTCTTTGCTATTGAAGTATCTGATTTCGTTCTCATATACAAATGAGATCTTTGCTGGGTAGATTATTTTTGGTTGACAGTTGTTTTGTTTCAGGACTTGGAAGATCTTTGTCCATTCTCTCCTTGCTTGTAGGGTCTCTTCGGAGAAGTCAGCAGTGATTCTGATGGGTTTTCCCCTGTATGTGATCTTTTCTCTACTTCGTGCTTGTCTCAGGATTCCTTCTTTGTCTTCATTGGAGTAGAACCTGAGCACCGTGTGTCTGGGTGAGGATCTCTTTGGATCATGTCTGTTGGGAGTTCTCTGTCCATCCTGTATGCGGGGTGGATTCGTGTTCCAAGTGTTTTGGAAGTTTTCCTGTATAATTTCATCAAGCACTGCTTGCATCCCAGATTCTCTTTCTACTCCCTCAGGGAGGCCGATGATCCGAATATTCAGTTTTCTAAGGTAATCCTTCATCTCTTGCATCATTTTATTAGTTTTGCTGAGGTTTGTCTCCAGCTGTTTAATTCGCTGGGCACTTTCATTTTGTGTGTCTTCTGTTTCAGAGATCCTTTCCTCTGCCGCATTTATTCTGTTGATGAGGCTTTCAATCTTATTCTCTTGGGCATCCAGTTTGGTTTTGATTTGTTGTATTTCGGTGATTATGCGGTTCTGGTAGTCTTCCAGCTTTGTGTCCACGTCTCTGAGAAATTTTAGCATTATTTTCATCAATTCCTTTGCTGGTAACACGTCCATGTCTTCATCTCGCATCGCCGATATTGATAATGGCTTTTGGCCCATGTTTGGTGGGGTGCTGGCTCTTTCATCTGGAGCACAGCTCTTTCTGGTGGTTTTTCCCATTGCGTTGGTGTATTCTGGTGGGGCAAATGAACCCGTGTGTTGAGGGGCTGTCAGGTGCTTTCCTGTAGAGATTGGAGCCTGCAGGCGTGGTGTTGCCGGGCGTGGTAATTTTCAAGGCACCGTTGGTGCGTTCTCAGGGCCCGGGGCTGAAGAGCACCACCTTGGGGGCCCAGTGGATTCCAGGCACACTCTGGGCACCTCTTCAACAGGTGTGACACCCCAGGGCGTGGAGGGATGGAGGCGCTCTCTGGGTGTGCCCCCTGCACGGGAATCCACAGGACTTAGAAGGTTTTATGTGCTTTCTCCCTGCGTTCTCCGTGTCAGGGACTGCAAGGTTTTTCAGAGCCCACCTGGTGTGTCTCCCACACACGGGACTGTGGGTGAGGCACTTTCCAGGCGTGGCTCTTGTGCAGTGAATCCACCACTCGTGGTGTGTGGGTGTTCAGAGCCCCTGCTCCTGTGTGGCTCTCTCACACCGGCCCTTAGCGGGGGAGTGGCCCAGGCGCCCTGTTATTATTTCACGGCAGGTTCGCACCGTGTCAGTGTGATGCAGGAGTTTTCAGAGCTCTCCTGGTGGGTTGCCCACGCTCAGAACTGCGGGGTGGGAGGCGAGGGGTGAGCAGTTCACCCTATGGGAGTGGTACCTGCGTGTCGGGGACACACAGCGCTACACTTCCCAAGTCTCAAAGCTCTCCCGACATCTGACACCTGCGCTGTGAAGGCGGCTGCTGCAGGCGGGGCCGCCTAGTCCGCTCGGCTGCTGCAGGCGGGGCCGCCTAATCCGCTCGGCTGCTGCAGGCGGGGCCGCCTAGTCCGCTCGGCGCAGCGACCAGGGTCTTCCCGATGTTATCGCGCTTCCACCAGGCAGGATGTGGAGGACTCCAGATCCTCACCAGCAGCCTCTGCGCACTGAGACGCACTGGCCCCCTCAGTGTAGGAACATCCGAGGCGCCTTCCTGGTGCCCCCTCAGCCACCAACACCACTGTGCGTAGTTTCCAAGGCATAAACCCGACAGCTTCAGTCTCTCTGCCCCGCGTTCTCAGAGGCTGGACCCTCAGTAGGGGGTCAAGGAATGCGGAGGCTACCACGTCAACCCCCCGGCTCACCAAACGTCCGGCCGCTGCAGTCTGCCTCCGCCTCCCGCCGGCGACGGTCCGCCCGATCTCCCCGCCTCCGGGTTGTCCGCGTCTCCCGTCAGGCCGCTTTCAAAAGTGACTCAGCAGGTCTGGAGTGGGATGTCGGTTTCTCTACCTTTGCCCTGCTCCGTTCTCGCTGTTCTTCCGAGTTGTGTGGATCTTTTTGGCTCCACACAGTCCCAGGGAGCCTCACGGACCTCTCCCTGCGATTCCCTGCTGTTCCACTTTGCTGCTTCTGTAACTTTCTATCCCTCTTTCACTGGACGCTCTCTCACAGCCCCAAGGCTACTGTTGAAGAATGAATAATGGCTTGCTTTGAAGAATATGAATACAGCATTTTGCAGAATTATCTTTAGAGGTACCTGTATAGCAATGACGTGCAGACGGAATGACCAAATGTCTGTGCATGCCCCCTTAGTCTTGAAGTAAAAAATGGAACAATTAGTTGTTTGTGTAGAAGCTTGTGATGTGTCTGAGTAAATAAAAAAGGACATCTTCTTGAGCTCTTGTGAGAGTGACAGTGTCTGTATCTTCCTTTATCACCGACTCCACGCACCTTTCCTGAGCTTCAAAGTTGGGTAGAGCTGGTCTCTGGCACCATAGCTTGGTTGTGGTTCCCACTAGTGAGTGCAAGGGCCAGAGTATGGACTGCTATCTGGTCTGGACATGACTGCAGTGTCCCTCTGTACAGGGGTGGACTGGGTATGGAGTATGTCAGATTGAGCTAAACTCCAGCACCCATGAGTACTCATGAGAACCAAGGTAGGTGTAGGACAGGCTGGGAGAGGTCCTGCCCCTACTGAGCCATGAGTGAGTTGTATCTGTGTGTGGACCAGGCTTAGCTGGGCTGTAGCAACCAACACCAAGAACCAGAATGGTTAAGGGTCAGCCAGGAAAGGTCACTGTTCCTGCTAGGACAGTAAGTGAACTGGGTAGGGCTGTGCCATGGACCCACCAGTGTGTGTGAGTTCTGGCATTGGGAGAGGTTCTGATGGAGGAGTTTGGGGAATCCTCTGTTGGGACACAGTCCCTGCAGGTGAGTGCAAGAACCACAATAGGGAGCAGTCCAGACCAGCCCAGGATACTGTACCTACCTGCATACATTTGGCACAGGCCTGGAGTGAGCCAGGCTGGGCCAGTTCATATCACCTACTGGCAAATCTGAGTACCAGAATGATGTGTAGGTCAGGCCAGTTCAGGCTACAACACAAGCCAGTTTACATGAGGGCCACCAGTTCTGGGGGCTTGCCTGGGTTGGGCTAGCCTTTAGCCCCTAACAGCATGAGCTGGAATTGGGGGTAGGCTGGACCAAGCCATGCTACAACACCCACTGGCAAGATGGCAGGATGGCCTGGGGCAGTGCCTAATTAGCACATGTGAGACCCAAGGGAGAGGGGCAAACCTGGTAGAAGGGTAGCTGGGGGCTTCCCTGCCGGACCACCACTCTCAAGAGAAAGCATGAGAGCTGGGATGGAGGCAGACCATGCTGGGCAGGGATAAATATCTGTTGGCCTGCATGTGAGTGTGTCATAAGAAAGCCTGGCTGGGTTGACTGTACCTACTGGTGCATGCATAAGCTGGAGAGGGTGTGGGTTGATTTGGCTTTGCCACAGCATCAGCTAGCAGATGCTGGCACAGAGGGCAAATTCTTTTTTTTTTTTTATTCTTAAATATGGTTTAATACTCTTCTCCATTTCTGTACATCACAACACCAAGATTTTGCTGCTTAGGATCTCTCTGCCGAGGCTATAGAGAATTCAAAGGCTATGGTTTTCACCCCCTTATTTCTGTGTTTGTAAGTATAAGTGTAATACATATCAGTATATATTGATACACACATCAATATATAATGCAATATATATCACTGAAGAGAACACATTGATTAAAGAAATACAAAATTTGGCATCATTTCCAAACTTAAATAGTAAAAATAAAAACTACAAAAGGAGCTGCATACCCTAAATGTATCATGTGAAACAACAAGCATATTTAAAAATGTAAATTTACATCCAATTTCTCTGGTCTTGTCATATCACATTAGACTCATTTACAATGGCAAAACCCTAAAGGTACTGTTGTGAAGAGAGCACATTTGCTCGCTCTTGGTTGTTCTGCAAATAAACAGCAGAGCCCAAAGCAAAAGCCGGTGAAGCCTCCCATGCTGGTGAACACCAAAGAGTCGACTCTTCTTGCTGGGGGTTGAGACAACAGGTTACGCATCAACAAGTCATTTGGACCTCTGAATACAGTGTGAGAACCACAAGCTTTACATTTAAGACATACTCCTTTCATTCAAGTGAAACAGGATTATTGGAACGGTAGGAAGGTCTGTAACCTGGGAACAAAGAGATGGTTCAGACCAATAAAGCTACAAGTGACTGAGTCAAGTCAGTGAAGAACAGCAGTCAGGCACTATAGTGTTAAGAGTACCCAATTTGAAAAACCAAATGCACCCCATGACCCTAATCAGTGTGGGAGTAATACCAACTGACTTATAAAACCTTTGGTCCTTTGGTACACTTTTATTCCCCATTGCTATTTCTGGGCACATCCCGTATGTTCTGTTTGCTGTGACCACCTCAAGCATGCCATGACCTTGCTTGGTAGCTGGGGTTAAGTCCTACTGACAGTCCAGCTGTGAAACATAAGCTTCAGGGTTTCAGGTCAATTTCTGGATCTAACATAGTTAAGTCCATGGCCAGAAGCTGTGTCCCATCCCTTCCCGCCCCTCCCGACCCACCCCACTCTCATAATTTCTCCTGTGAGGTGCTTGTAAAGTCCCACATTTGAAACAGCTGCTCCAACCCCACCAGGAGGTCAGGGGCTTATAATTACATGCACAGTCATACATGTCTGTCGTTCCTGTGAAAAAATCTTGCAGATCATTTAAAATCAAAACATTCACATAATCTCATGCCATCCAACACAAGGAGAACACAACCACCTCCCTTTTACCGAGGATAGACCCAAGCAAAATAAACTTTAAATTTCTTTGCTTCCACTGAAATTGCATTTATTTCTCCCAATCCCAGCAACAGCACAGAAGCCCCATCATATCCACCTCCGACTGGTTTCTAGTAGGCTAAGATTAGGGGACCTTTGTCAAAGCAACTGATACAAGAGGCTCCGAAATGCTGTGCCCAAACAAGTCTGCCAAATACATGGAAGTAAAGAGTGCACTGGTCCAAGTGCTTTAGTCAGTTTGACCTGGCAATGCAATTTGCATCCTTGAAACGGGTCTGGAAGGGAAAGGAAGAGTGTCAGGGAGTGAGATTGACATTGCCTCCTATTAGCTCACCCTTTCAACATTAAACAGAGACCAAGAGAGAAATGGTTCCAACATTTCACCACATGTATTTCTTCTGATGCAGTCTAAGCTGAGAATGCCATGTAAATGGGTCACTGCGAAATGCAGCAGTTTAATTTTTCTCCAATCAAAATAAGAAACAAACCAGTATGATCTCACTTCTATTAACTTTTGAAGGTTTACAGCAGTTAAAGTATTTTTGCTTCTACGTATGAAGGTTAAAAAAATCATTTTTTTTCATAAAATACAAGAGCAACCAATTTCACCATCGAGTAAAAGTAAAAACTGGAATTCTTTTAAATAGTCCAAGTGGCATTTAGGAACTTAGTTGTAGGCTGCTGCGCTGATACCATGACAAACCAAAGTGTAGGGTTGGGCCTGGTTTTGTTTTGGTTTTCTTTTCAATATCCAATGCTCATGGATTCAGTTCTGGAAATGTTCCAATTGTAAGGCAGGGATCTGTTTGGATTCCACCACAGGTATGCTCCTTGGGTTGGATGCTGGAGGGTGAGGCACGTTTTGCCGGACCCATGTCGACTACCTAGTAGTCATCAAGGTCAAAGAATTCATCGTCTCCTCCTTGGTATTCCATTCCCTGGAAATCTACTCGGTACCGTAGGATGCCCCCAGTTCCACCAAATCCTTTCACAAACTGAGATCCTTCTTGTGACTTATCTGTGACAATTTCCAATGTAGCTCCAAATTTCTTATAGTTGTCAGCAAACCATTCCAACAGTGGCATGCTCTCAATCAGCTCATGTTCCTGTCCTGTCTCTTTGTCTGTGAAATGAGATTTATCCTTTTCTTGTTCTGGGGTTAGATAAAGAATTTTCTCCTCTTCTGTGCCTTGACAATGAAGAATGTATCTCATTATATCCAAATTTTCATAGACTATTAGAATTTCTACAGCTCCCATCTCCAAAGCTTTTAGTGTATCTTCAACTCCAAAACAGTACTTGCCCGTGTCTTGGCTGATTTCATCAAAGTATCGCCCTATTAATTTCTTCTCTTGAATGAATTTCACGTTGGAGAGGACTTCAGTAGATAACTCAATAGCTTGGTTGAATCCATTTTCACCACCATAGGATATATCAACTAATTTTAAAACTTTTGATTGCAACCTCTGATCAAACATATCAGATTGGCTTAGTTCAGTTTTAAAGTCAGCTGATCCAGCTAAAACGAGACCAGCCACGTTCACTTTGTCCCCAGAGATAAACAGCTGCACAGCAGTCTCTGCTACTTTCCGAACATAGTTATGTCGTTTTTCCATTCTTAAACGGGCAAAACGCAAGGCTGACTGACCTCCTCTGCCGTGTTTCTTTGGGAGATCCATAGTGAATTTGTGCAGGACTTCTCTTGTATTTCCCTGGAGTGTGCCAAAAAGGGCACCACTACCATCTATTACAATGAAGCCAAATTTGCTATCATCCGAAAGTAGTGCTGTAAGAGCCTCTGTATGGAATTTGTTGTCACACAAATATAATGATGTATTAATTGGTTTGAAAGGTTCAAAGTCTATGTTGACTTTCTTTTCCTTTCCTTCTTCTGTTACAATTGTTCCACAGTAAACAACCAAACCATTTGGAGGTACTTTGTTATAAAGTTTGAGTCTTTGTTGTACGGATGTAATGGCTCCCAGGACTGAAAGGCGGTTTACTCGGGACTTAATGTTAGATGCAGTTCCAAACTCATCTGCTAACATTTTTGCCACTCGGAAAATCTGGTCTTTGGGAGGAATGATCAATGATATCATGCTGGTGCCATTGCCGCGGGCCGCCTCCAAGCTCTTAATGAGCTTCTTGATCTTCCAGATTTCCACGTTCCTGTCGGCAGCACTGGGGTCGTCCGCCATCTTCTCGCCTCCTCCTCCCTAAGGGCCCAGTCCTGGGCGGCAGCGGCTGCTCCTCCCCGGCGGCGGCTCCGCGGCCCAGAGGGCAAATTCTATCAAGCTAAACTGCATAACCACCGGGAGAGTGCAAGATCTGGGAATGGGAATGGGCCCATTAGGGAAACTGTGAGTACTTCCTTCTTGGGTTGCCACTCTGACTGGTGAGCATGAGAACCAGGACCAGGTGCAGGCATGGTTAGATAGAGAGTGGCACCCACCAGCACCAGGGTGGACTGGATAGTGGACTGGTTAGTTTGAACTAGAATTCAATGTCCATTGACATGCACAAGAGCTGAATGGGATATGGGACAGACTGGACCAGTCTACTGTACATGTTGGCAAGCATGAGACCCGGTGGGGGGCGGTGGTTGGGACTGGTGGGCATTTTGGGAGGGTTGCTCCCACTAGCATGCAGCTTCCATTGATTTGTGTGAAGGCTGAGTGTGTGGTAAGCAGGATCAGTCGGGCTGAGCTACAATGTCCATTGCTTTGTGTAGAAGACAGGGCTGTGGACAGAACTGACCCAGTACTTGCAAGTACCATTGTGTGTGTTGGCTGATTTGGATGATGACTTGTGCTGCACCCTGTATTGGAAAGCACACACAAGAATCAGGTCTGGAATCACCTCAGATGAATTTTTTTGTGGGTCTCCTTCCCACAGCTGATCCGCTGGACTCATAATTCCTACCATGAAGAGAACTAAAAGTTCCATGGTCTGATCATTGGAGTACATGTTTCAGAGCTGGGGCTCTTCGGTGGCTTAGACAGAGCAGTGGGCAGCATATACAGGTTTGTGTGCAGGATATGGCAGTACATTGGACCCTGCAAAGAAACCTGATACCATAACAGAGGATGGAGGACAGAGAAAAATGGATGAGCTACCACAGTCAAGTGTTGGTGATGATTATCTGGCTAAACAGAGACTCTAAGGTGGACTACGTCAATCAGTGGATTCTGGAAAGATTTCATTGTTCTTGGAGTTGTGAGATTGGTAGCAATTCAGAACTGCTGGACTATCAAAATCACTTGAGCAGGACCCTCACAATATGCCCCACGTTGCAGCCCTGGAATGGTTGGGAGACTGGGTGTGGCTTCTTCTCTTTTCTTCCCTCTACCCCCTGCTACAGGAAGAAAAATAGAGAATGTAGAAGTGGTTCTCTTACCCACCTTCCTGTAGCTCTTGATCCTTCACACCTTAATCAACCAAGTAAAAAACATCAAAAATAAAATAAAATTATTTAAAATAAGAGAAAGAATGGTTTATTTACTCTTTAATGCCAGTTCCACTTTTCATAGCAAACTATTGCTAAACATTGCAACATGCAAATAACTCATTTCAAAGAACAATTGGCACACCTGCAGAATGCAATTCTTTTATATATATATGTATACATATATATACATACATATATATGTAATCTGCTGTAATTTGTGATACATACATCTAAAATTTAATATGCAATTACTTTTTTCATACCAGGATCCAAAAAGACTACCAATGCATTTTATGGATAAATCTTACAGTCTCTTTGATTCTATATGTTTCCTTTTCTCCCAGAAATCTCTTTGGCAAAGTGATTCTGATGGGTTCTAATTGGTTGCTGCTCATGATCAGGGCTTCCTCGTACTTAAAGTGCAGAAGTAAATTTTACTATTTTTCAGAGGAATTACTTTGTGAGTTTATACTGATTTTTTATTCAAAGTTAACATTACTGTGCTTTAATTTCCATTCAATCATGCTAATCTTTCAGAGAAAACCATAAACTTATAGGTTGAAAATACTCTTAGTAGCTTAAGAATAATTAACGTTTATCGTATCATATGTGTATATATGTACATGCACATATGCATACATGCATAGTAGGTTCAGAATAGTAACACTAATACTGCCAACATAAGTAGCAACTTTAACATTTACTTGTGATTGTTTTTATCCTAGGATATATCACCCTAAGGATTACAATCAAATTCTTGCACATAAAACTTACTGATTTTCATCTTATTGGCAAGCTTAGACAGAGCGAGAGAGAGATCCCTTCCATCTACTGGTTCATTATCAAATGTCTGATAATGAACAACAGGTAGGGCAGGACCAGAGCAAAGGCCAGAGCCCAAAACACAAGCCAGATTTCATGGGACTGGCAGGGACCCATGGACCATCACCTGTAACCCCTCCGGAATCACAAGGAGAGGAGAGCTGGAATCAGAAGTGGACTCAATCTCAGGCCCTGGGTGTGGGATGCAGGCATCCAGATGTCACACAGCTGCTGCCACTGAGCTCTCACCACAAATGACTGCCTTTAAATCCTTCCTGTCTGAGTGTGAGCTGCCAACTACACACACAGTCTATTTTATATTTGCTTGATAATGACATAAGTATCTACATGGTACTAAAGTCAAGTGTACAAGAAAAGTATGTTCAGAAGGGCCAACTTGCATCCCTTCATCTGGCTTTTCCTCCCTGTACAGAGAACTGTTTCCTAGGTTTTGGTTTGTCCTTTCCACTATTACCATGTTACCATTTCTTAGGTAACATGTGATATAATTTGTGTATTGTTGCATACCTTACTTTTTTCACTTAAGGATAAATGCATCTAAGAAGTCATCATATATGGACTGGAGCGGTGACACAGCAAGCTATTCCTCTGTCTGCCAGCATCAGCATCCCAAATGGGAGCCAATTCATGCTTGAGTAACTCTATTTCCAGCTCCTTGCTTATGACCTATGAAAGCATTAGAGGATGGCTCAAGCACTTGGGTCCTTGTACCCTCATGGGAGACCCAGAAGAAACTCTGGGCTCCTGGCCTTAGATCATCTCAGCTCGGGCTATTTTGGGATTTTGGGAGTGAATTAGTGGATGGAAGACCAATTTTTCTCTGTATCTCTATTCTCTCTGTAAATTTTTCATATAAAAGTCAATAAATTAAGAAAACTTTTTAGAAAGAAGTCATCCTATAGTGCTCATTTGCAAAATAGATAGAAGGCAGAGGGACAGGCATGGCTGAACTGCTGAGACACAAGTCCAGGATCAGAGTTGTCAGGCATCAGGAAAGGTGACAAACAGAGACAAGTTCAGGGCCATACACACCTGACAAAGCTGCAGGAGCTGACCTCTCAGGAGGGAGCCAGCTTGCTTTGTTAGGTAAGTCTGGGGTGGAGACTGGGAGGGGGAGGACCTGGGAGTCTGGCAAGCTAACCTCCACCAGCCTGGCTTGCGAACCCTCAGTGCTTTGGGGACGTGAGTTAATTCTAAAGATTCCCAAGAACAGTAAATCTTCCTCAGATAAACCTGTAATTAATACTGTCTCAACCCATGTGTTTTGAAAAATTGTAAAACCTACTATACTTTCAAAACCTTGTGCTAATCAGAAATGGGGCAGGAGAGCAAAGAAATCTTCCATCCACTTAGATGTGTGAGGACGATGTGTAGTGTAACCCATCAGGTAACACCAGCATGGGAGAATGGCTAAAGTTCTTTTCTTCTGATCTGTAGTCAGATGTGTTACCCATTGTGCCACTGGCCCGTAGGATGCAAAATTCTTTTGTAATAAAAAATATTTAATTATTTTATTTTTAAAAATAAAGTGGGATCATAGACATCATCCCAAGTCTCCCAAAAATCATGAGGTCAACCTTACCACCCAAGGAGTCCCAGAGGATGGCAAAGAACATGGCTAGGGGCTCAGGGTGATCTGGATGCCAGAGAACAGCAGCCTGAAGAAAGGGAAGATCTTTCCCGGGAAGGAGGCCTGGAAAGTGTAGATGTGATTCTTAGTGGCCATGTTGTACAAGTTGACTTCCTCACCCTTGAAATCCATGCAAACACGCACACTCCTGGAGCAGACCAAGAGGACCTCCTACGTGTTTCTCCCAGTGAACGCCTGGCACTGGAATCTGGGGAGGTGCAGCACCCAAAAACTGCTGCCAGGCTCCAGATTCAGGTTGCTCCTGTTCAGTGCCTGCTAATATGCCATGCCCAAGACACAGGCCCCCACCCCTGGTTCCACTGCACTCCACCTCCCGTGTATGGAGGCCTGTGGAGAAGCCTGAGGAGCCCAGCACGCAAGGGAATGGGTAGAAGTGCTGTGGCTCTACCAGATATTCTATGCAATTCAGAGGGATCATGTCTGCTTTCACCATTTTCAAATCTTGGGATGGTTGAGGCCAGGATGGATACAGTCTGGTTCAAGTCTTCATGGAGGAAGACTTTATCTTGCCAGTCCCGTCCATGGGAGCAGGTTCTGTGATCTGTACCAGGTAAGTCTTTTTTTTTTTTTCCCCCAAAGATATACTTATTTTTATTGAAAGGCAGACATATAGAGAAGAGGAGAGACAGAGAGGAAGATCCTCCATCCGATGGTTCACTCCCCAATGGTTCACTCCCCAAGTGACTGCAACGGCTGGAGCTGAGTCAATGTGAAGCCAGGATCTAGGAGCTCTTCCAGGTTTTCCACATAGGTCAGGATCCCAAGGCCTTGGGCTGTCTTCTACCGCTTTCCCAGGCCACAAGCAGGGAGCTGGGATGGGAAACAGGGCCACCGGGATTAGAACCGGCCACCACATGGGATCCCAGGCATGCAAGGCGAGGACCTTAACCACTACACTATCATGCTGGGCCCCCAGGTAGATCTTAACCCCTGTATTGACTTTCACTCTGAAAGAGTGAGGGGGACCTCATGTGTCCACTAGAGGGCACCACGGTTGGGTAAAAGGCTAGCATGATCTTTGCTTCTCTCAAGAAATCCTTCTATTGTCTGAGTCATAACCATCCCTGCTGCCATTGGACCTCCAGTCCTAGGATCCCAGACCTCTCCACTAGCTGCCCTCAAATCATGGCCCTCCAATTGCCCTCAGCAATGTTGTGAGTTGACCATATCTATTTGAGAAATGAGTTGGTGGTGGATTCAGGAGTCTTTATTCACTGGCTGGCAGGCTGTCCTCTACCATTGCATATGAAAGAGAGGAGCAGCCTCAACTAGCTGTGTTCAGGGGTTTTAAGAAACAATCATCCAATCAAATAAGAGAACATTGG